TTTTGAGACAGGGTCTCACTCCCGTCGCCCAGGCTGCAGTGAAGTGGCCCATACCTGGCTCATTGCAGCCCTGACTTCCAGGGCTCAGGTGATCCTCCCACTTTAGCCTCTCAAATAGCTGGGACTACAGGTGCGCCACCACACCCAGCAAATTTTTTGTATTCTTAGTAGAGATGGGGTTTTCCCATGTTGCCCAGGCTGGTCTCGACTCCTGAAATCAAGTGATCCACCTGCCTTGGCCTCTGCCTCCCAAAGTGCTTAGATTACAGGTGTGAACCACTGCACCCAGCCTCTTTCAGGACAACTTTATGTGCAGTCTACTGGCATGCCTAGGTGAAAATAAACTGAATGACTGAAAATGTTGGTATCTTGACCCTTATACATTCAAAAGGCAGAGAAAGCATTTTGGATGGGACAGATGGCAAGTGAAAATAAGCTTGCTTACCTTGTGAGAGTCTTTCCCCCTGGGGAGTCGTAAGTTGTGGCTTCTGGGCCACTGCATTCCAACGCTGAGGCTTCCCTGGCAACACCCCTAGTCCAAGGTAACCAGGATAGAGCTCTGGAAACCACTCCAGTCCCACACAGCTGAGAAGGGTCTTCCTGCCAGCAGCTGCAGCATGATTGGTGAAGGGGCTCTGAGGAGTGTGATGCTGGGCTGAACATAAAGGACTCTGGCACCTAGTGTGTGATGCTTGGAACGGACTATCAGATTTGGGCTCCAGAGACACCTGTTCCTCGGGACTCTCCGTTAATGCCTTTACATCAGGGACACGATTATGATTCCAGGCTTCTGCTTTCTCTTCTGGAAGAAATTTTGTAGCTAGAGAAGCAAGACTTTGACTACTTGACTGCGATACAGAATGAAACTCGTAAGTTGTCTCCCTTGGAATGAACAAACTTAAATGTGGTCCTTCTCCTTGAGACTTCTTTTCTGTGACTGAATCATTGGTGTTGAAGTTCTCACAGCTATGGCTCATGACAGTCCGTTCCTGCTTTTCTGTTGCAGACACACTTTTCTCTGCATTTCCTTTGCTCCCACACGTCTCTACTCCAAGAGTAAGTCCTTTCTCTTGTTTCTCCGTGACTTGGATTTTACCCAATGAGCTCATTTTAAGGCTTAAAATGAGTGATTCTGTGTTCTTTTCTGGAGTCTCAGTAACTGTAACATCAGTAGGGACTCCTGAGAGGTGATCCCTGCCTTTGGAATCTCTCTCATTGCTTAATAATGATATTCTTACCCTTTTAACCTCATCACTGACATTCTTTGGAGAAATATGACAATCACCAGTAGGCACGTCTAGTAATTTTACTAGAAGTTCCTGTCTTTGGGGATCAATTTTGTCCAATTTCAGATCACCAGAGGTAGTTTGTACATCATTAGGTACAGTTGAGGAATATTTTCTATCTTGATTTGACAAAGAAGGTTCTATTGAGCCAACCAGTAAAGACGCTCCAGCTTCTGAAGGATTACGTTGACTTTCTCCGAATTTAGACAAATCTTTGGCAAGTTCTCTTTTAGGAAAGGTTTTCTCTGATGCATAAAACTGAGCCTTGGTTTCTTCTTGGAAAGTAGTCTTTGGCTTAGTATTTTTTAACATTTTGAAGGACGGTTGGGTTGGATTCTTGATGTCTTTATCTGCCTTTGTAGTAGTTGCTCTTTCCAAACCAACAGCTGGTAGTGGAAAGGTCTTCACTGTCTGTTCTGGTTTGTCCATCATCAACTTAGAATTTCTTTCTTCATTCTCTGTCTCTAACTCTTTCCCTTTAGCTTTAATTAAATCTTTGATTGGCCCTTTCATTTTTTTAGCACGTGGGAGTGTAGCTGGCTTGGACTGATGAACTTTTTGATCAGTAGGTATGGTTGATCCTATCATCTTACAGTATGGCAAGTGAGATTTTAATCGTTTAAATGGCTTCTTACAATAAGGACACACTTCCATTCTGGGTGGATTATCACTCATCCTATTCCTGAAAAATGTAAATGTGAGATTATGAGAAGCACATAGTTTGTAAACATCAGTATTTTACTTATGTGTTGTATCTTTTAAATTCATTTGGAACAAGCTAGATGTTTGCTACTTAAGGTTACAGCAAGTCAACTAGTCATTACATGAGGATAAAAAATTGTTTAAAAACCCATAAACATGTTATTCAAGGACAGAATGGTAAAGAATAAAAAACTTAGGCCAGGAACCAAAGGTTATTTATTTATTTATTTTGGAGACAGAGTCTCGTTCTGTCACCCAGACTGGAGTGCAGTGGCACAATATCTGCTCACTGCAAACTCTGCCTCCCAGCATCAAGCAATTCTCTTATCTCAGCCTCCCAAGTAGTTGGGACTACAGGGGCATGCTACCACGCCTGGCTAATTTTTTGTATTTTAGTAAAGACGGGGTTTCACTGTGTCCGTGTTGCCCAGACTGGTCTTGAACTCCTGAGCTCTGGCAATCCACCCGCCTCGGCCTCCTAAAGTGCTGGGATTACACGCGTGAGCTACCACGCCTGCACCCGGCCAAAGGTTACTGATTACAGCACAGGTTTCCAAAGTGATATATGGAATATCCACTAGGGTGCAAGAAGAAAATATTAGAAAATATTAGAATTCCCACAATCTAAGAATGAGAAATGAAGCTCTACTAACATTTAGTTAGTAATATGCATATATATACACACACACGGATATACACAAAATGTATGTATAATGTACAAATATATACATGGTAAGAACACGGTCCTATTTTTCACCTATACTTTTTTTTTTTTGAGACGGAGTCTCACTCTGTCACCAAGCTGGAGTGCAGTGTTGGCTCACTGAAACCTCCATTTCCCGGGTTCAAGTGATTGTCCTGCCTCAGCCTCCCGAGTAGCTGGGACTATAGGCACACGCCACTACGCCCAGCTAATTTTTGTATTTTTAGTAGAGACGGGGTTTCACCATGTTGGCCAGGATGGTCTTGATGTCCTGACTTTGTGATCCGCCCGCCCTGGCTTCCCAAAGTACTGGGATTACAGGTGTGAGCCACCACGCCTGGCCTACTAATAGTTTCTAGTACAACAGATTACTGGCAAATTAGTTTGACATCTTTGTTAAATATATACCATGTAAAAAATTTTAAAAAACATTTATACCATGTATATTTGTACCTGTTACTCTTTAGAGTCCAGAAAAGAAAATGTTTAATTCCAATGTTTACTTGAAAGTTATTTCCTTTCTACATCTCTTGTTCTTTCTATAAAGTTCCAGAGGGCAAGAAACCTATCTATCCTGCACACAGCTGTATGTAAAAACCTAGCACTGAGCCTGGCATACAATATTTGCTCACTAATTCTTTAGATATAAATGATTAAATATTATTCAGTACTACAACTGGTAATATCTCTGACCACCAACGAGATTAAAAAAGGTGACTGAAACCATTCACAAAACAGACACAATTTTGACCAACCCATTCATTAAAGCAACCAACTCACCTTATCCTGTACGAAGTCATTCAAAACAAAACTGTTTTCTGCCAACAGATTACAGTAATCATTCTTACTTTGTTGTTGTTCGGTCTTTTTTTTTTGAGATGGAGTCTCCCTCTGTCACTCAAGCTGGAGTGCAGTGGCACGATCTCGGCTCACTGCAACCTCAGCCTCCCCAGTGGCTAGGATTACTGGGATTACGGGCCTGGGCCACCACGCCCAGCTAATTTTAGTATTTTTAGTAGAGACGGGGTTTCACCATGTTGGCCAGGCTGGTCTCGAACTCCTGACCTCAGGTGATCTACCCGCCTCGGTCTCCCAAAGTGCTGGGATTACAGGCGTGAGCCACCGCGCCCGGCTTGCTGGGATTACAGGCGTGAGCCATCAGTCTTTTTTTGTTTGGAGGTACACACTAACAGGATGAAAGCCACAGACTGTTTATTTACAAAAATACACACAAATGAAGCCAGTCCATGGACCTTCGGCTAATAACGTTAGAAAGGGCATGACACCTGCTAGACGTTTCTGCCTCCACTCCACCTCACACTCAATCCTACTTGAAACATCTCGGTACATTCCCAGGGTAACGTCTATATGTGGCTGTTTACTTACTCGAGCTCCTCTAGGAGGATGCTAGTTTTGCGGGTGCTTCTCCCGGATCCCCATTCTTCCCCGATCACCGTTCCCGAGTGTGGCAGAATGAAACGTGAATGTCAGCCTGTGTAAGACACGATGAGACAGGTGACTTGGCAGCACGCGCAGTGAGTAAATGCGGCACGGTACTGAATCAAAAACAAACACAGGTTCCGGAAAGCAGAGAGTTAAGACCTCCCAAGCCTCTGGGCTCAAGGAGGACCTCAACAGTTCCACTAATCCTCGCCCTCACCTCCGGCGCTCCTCAGCCACCTTTCCCTCCTCCGGCCGCGTTAGCAGCCTGCCCACCTCCCCGCACCCTTCCTTTCCCTGAAAGCTGTTCTGATTCTGCCAGCGAAGTGGATGGGGTCGGCCTGGCAGATTCTGGGTCAGGCACCGGCGTTCCCGCAGCCCCACCGAGGGGTTCCTCCTGCGGTTCCAGGAAGACCCTCCGCCGGCACCCGATTCCCTCCCCTCTCCGCTCAGGACAGTCTTCCCCAGACCTAGAACGTGGGTCGCGGAACACAACCCCACCCTTGGAAGCTCACCTCAGAGGACCGTCCTCACCTCGGAAGACCCGAAAGCCCAGGCGGCCCCGGCGGGAAGCCCCCCCAGGGAAGCCCCCCAAGCGCCTGCCCAACCCCCGGCCAGGAAACCGCGTCAGGCTGTCTGCACCACTGCCGGATAGGTCCGCCTATTTTTAAAAATGTTACCTCACACGGATTCAACTCAAATACTTGTATGATATTATTATGACATAATTGAGTTTATTTGAAACCTGGCTTGACTTTCATACCGTACCCTCCGTTGGCTGTGAACAGGCGAGTGCTTCCGCCACCCCAGGGGAGGTCCTTTCTCCCAGAAGCTCCTAGTCGCTCCTCCCCCTCCGAGCCCGCCTCTTCCCGTGGGCGGGGTTACCGGTCGGCGCGGTTGGGATCGTGCCACTGCGCAGCCGCGAGAGGGCGGTACCACGGCGGCAGCGACATGGGGGGGCGCGGAGCAGACGCCGGAAGTAGCGGTGGTACGGGTCCGACTGAGGGGTACTCGCCACCGGCTGCGTCCACCCGAGCGGCTGCGAGAGCTAAGGCCCGAGGGGGTGGGCGTGGCGGCCGCCGAAACACAACCCCCTCTGTTCCCTCTTCTCGCGGAGCGGCGCCGCGTAGCTTCCCTCCGCCAGCTGCCATGAGCGAGCGCCTCCGTCCCAGGTGAGAGGGAAGGGACCCCCTTTCCACTCGTCGCCTGAGGATTTGGGAGATGGAGCCGAGGGGGCGCGCGAAATGGGGGTCGGAGCAAGTGTGAACCCGGCAGGGCTCCCTGTGGGGTCCACTGAGGGCCGGGGGAGTAGGGGAGAGGGATGCGCGAGTGATCGGATGCTTGGTTCCTGTGGGTAGCTGGAAGGTGACTCTCCGGGGTCCAGGTCTCCCGCCCCTCCATCTTTTTACTCCCCTATCGTTTCCTATTTGGAACGAAGTGTGATCGGTCCCGGAAGAGAGACAGTGGCCCTAAAGCTTCCCTGTCCTAAATTTAGGAGGGTGGGGGGATGGGAGAAACGTCTCATCTTGGAGAGGGGGCCCCCTCAGGCTTTTGTGAGGGCACCGGGCGGGGATCTGCCGGCTCCCCAAGGTCAGAAAGAAAGGTTGGGCTTAACCCCGCAGCAGGGAAAGATTAGGTTAGACCGAAGAACTTGTGCTATGAACGGTTGTGAACACAGAAGGGCAGATGACCAAGGCGGGTTATGGATCCTCTCTTGACTGTAGCATTAAGAACAAGCTGGATTCTAAACTGTTTGGATGCGGGGCCGTTTGATTCCGAAGGCGGGAGGTAGGATTTTGTCGCGATGCACTCGCTACCTTCCCAAGGGAGCCTGGCCCTTAAATTAGGAGTTCTATGCTTGACATGTACTCCTAGAGTCCCGACTAAGTTGGGATTTCTTAATTTTTTTCTCCCTCTTAATTTCCTCTGCAAGAATGTGTGGAGGAGAAAGTTGGGAAGGGTTACCTCAGAATGCTCTTCATGTTCCGGTCTTTCCACAAGGATCCTTCTCTGAAATAGTTATTTCACGGGATTGAAGTTCTCAGAAGTATCCTGAGTTTATTTGGTCCCATGGTGGAAACCTCGGGTTCCCCAAGCTGCTGCATGGGATTATTGATTTGGGTCATGTAGCAAGTGGAGCATAAAGCCTCTCGTTGTATAGAAAAGAAGAGTGGACTAAATTTGAAATTGGGGGCCCAATTACAGACATGCTATCGGAATTAGGAACAAGAGCTTTAGATATAGCTTTAGATACTGACCCGACTGCCATGTTATTCTTCCCCAAACCCAGTTTATACTTACGATATTCTCTTGGGGTGTCTCACATATCTGAAGAAAAATCTAAATATTTCCTACAAATAAAAATTCGACTGTACACAACTAATCTGAATGCATTTATACTGGTAGTAGATTCCTTTTATCAAGTACACAAATAATCTCAACATGTTTTAAATAAGTTATTTGATTTGGACAGGCTTTTCTTGCCAGTGTTTAATGGAGTATGATGGGCCAGCTCTGCCAGCTCTAGGACGGTCTAAGATGGTGGTTTTTCGGCTGGGCGCGGTGGCTCAGGCCTGTGATCCCAGCACTTTGGGAGGCCGAGGCCGGTGGATCACCTGAGGTCAGGAGTTCGAGATCACCCTGGCCAACATGGTGAAACTCCGTCTCTACTAAAAATTCAAAAAAATTAGTCGGGCCTGTTAGCGGGCGCCTTAATCCCAGTTACTTGGGAGGCTAAGGCGGAATCGCTTGAACCCGGAAGGCGGAGGTTGCGGTGAGCCGAGATCATTGCACTCCAACCTGGGCAACAAAAGCGAAACTTCATCTCAAAAAAAAAAAAAAAAAGATGGTTTTTCAGGCTGTCACACAATAGATTGGATAGCCGCAGAGAGGTGGGTGTGTGGTGAGGGAGTCCCTGCTTATTGATTGATTGGTTGATTGATTGACTGATTGATTGATTGACAGAGTCTCACTCTGTCGACCAGGCTGGAGTGCAGTGGCCCCGTCATGCCTCACTGCAGCCTCAACCTCCCAGGCTCAGGTAATGCTCACATGTCAGCCTCCTGAGTAACTGGACCACAGATGTGAGCTATCACACCCAGCTAACCTTTGTATTTTTGGTAGAGATGGGGTTTCACCATACTGCCCAGGCTGGTCTTGAACTCCTGGGCTCAAGGAATCCACCCATCTTGGCCTCCCAAAGTGCTGGGATTACAAATGTGAGCCACCTCACCAGACTGGGAGTCCCTGCTTCAACAAATCCTTTATCTCTTATATAGAGAGTATTTTTCTACAGTAAGAAAGAAAGAGTTCTGTCACTTTTAAAAATAAAGTTTGAAAACCACTAGTTTCCATACTGTTTTTGTTTGTTTGTTTTGAGACGGAGTCTTGCTGTGTTGGCGAGGCTGGAGTGCAGTGGTGCAACCTCGGCTCACTGCAACCTCCACCTCCTGGGTTGAAGCAGTTCTCCTGCCTCAGCCTCCCAAGTAGCTGGGATTACAGGCACGAGCCACCACGCCCTGCTGTTTTGTATTTTTAGTAGAGACGGGTTTCACCATGTGGGCCAGGCTGGTTTCGAACTCCTGACCTCAAGTGATCTGCCTGCCTTGGCCTCCCAAAGTGCTGGGATTACAGGTGTCGGTCACTGTGCCCAGCTCATACTCTTAAGATTATTTCTATGCCCAGTCTCTAGATGACAGGAAGGTTGGAGAGAAATGAAATGATGCAATGTGATGGAATCAGCCATCTTTAGAAGTAGCAGATGCTAACTGGTAATCTGCACCTAGATGGTTAGGGGAGAATATAATCAGTTATAGGGGTGCCTGCTAAAATTATAACCTGGTCTGTGGCATTAATGCCAAAAACTGTAATCTGATTGATTGAACCGATAGGGATGAGCATGAAGCTGTAATCTTGCCAGTTGTTAACATCATTATCGAAAGCAGAATGTTTCAAGGATGAGATCTGCTAAGAGCCTAGAAAAAGGCAAATAAAGAACAGGTAGAACTCTTTCTTAATCTGGTACCATCCAAAGGAGAAGGCCACCAACAGGCCAAAGAGATTATTCTGGTACTTTGCGAGATCAAGTGATTTATGAGGCAGGGATATTTCATGTGACTGTCCCGGAGATTAGTTGAAATCCACAAAACAGTCTCATCTTTTTTTGTTCTTACACTTCCTCTGCCATGCAACCTCCTTGACCTTCATAGTCTTGTCCCTGGAAAGATCTATCCCCCATTATAAATGAGGAGATAGCAAATTTTGATCAGGCTCATAAGTTTGGTTAGAGTGACTCAGCAGCCCAAAGCCCAATCAGCTGTTGGCACGCTGATAAAATGAGTGTGTGAGGACCAGCAGCTGCTACTTATTCGATGAGTTTCTCTTTGGGTGTCAACTGGCCTCCCAGCGGACGTTGCTTTGCCTCTGCAGAACACTCCCACGCAAATTCTCTGATCATATTAGGATGAAATTAGCAGTTTCTTGATTCAAATTTATGATAAAAGCACATCTGTTTAGTGATTATTAAAACCTGGTATTCATCTTTTTTTTTTTAACCTCCATCTACTTCAGAGTAATGTGCAGCTAAGATCTGATCTCCTAAGAGAAAGGTAGGGAGCAGAAATGATGTCTTAGAATGAGGTAAATTACATAGCCCAGTGCAGGATGGTTGAAGCTTTATCAGAACCACACACTCTTTATTATTCCAAACTTAAGCTAGGATCCATACTCATTATTAAAGTTAGACCTATTCAGAATGTTGCAGAGTACGGAGAATTGAGCTCAGGGTGATCATTTATTTTCTCCAGTATTGAGACCTCAACTCAAAACCTGTAGGATTAAAGGCCTGCCAGTGTAAGCCACGCTACTCTTTTTTTTTTTTTTTTTTGAGACGGAGTCTCGCTCTGCCGCCCAGGCTGGAGTGCAGTGGCCGGATCTCAGCTCACTGCAGGCTCCGCCTCCCGGGTTCACGCAATTCTCCTGCCTCAGCCTCCCCAGTAGCCACACTACTCTTATAGAAAGTGTATAATTATATAGAAGACACTATATCCTCCAATTGTACATGCTTTCCAAAAGCTGTGTGTCCACACCAGCCTTTTGTCTCTCATCTATAGAAAGCTGAAACTTTAAGGGTTTTTTAATAGGTGCTGCTGCCATGTACATACAGACCTCTAGCCTGTGCTGCTGGGAGAACGTTCTGCAGTGACGGGAATGTCCTTTATCTGTGCTGGTCAGTGCAGTAGCCACTAGCTACATGTGGCCACTGAGCACTAGAAACAGGGCTGCTGTGACCTAGAAACTGGATGGTTAATTTTAGTTAATTTAAATGTAAATAACCATATGTGGCTGGTGGCTACCATATTGGACAGTACAGTTCCGGGCAATTTGACTTAAAATTTTACCTCCTTTAATTTATTTCTGTTTTCTAACGGGTTCAGAAATCGTTTTGACAGCACATAATTCTTAAATAGAGTACATACAAATTTGGTCTTTCTTGCACATCTGAGAACACTTGCCTAAGAAAGATGTGTGATTTTTCTTTAAACCTGGAAATTTTAAGCAGCTTATGCTATAATCTCATGGTAACAATCTAGTGAAGTAATTGTTATATCATAATACCAGCTAGTGTTGCCAGAATAATCAGGTTAATGCGACCAAGAGGTACCTTTATAAGGGTTTTCAGGGCAAATAGGCAAAGGCAGCCACTCTCATTTCAAATGTTGTCATATGGAAGGGAGTACAATTAGGTAACTTGGAATTGTAATTTCAGGGAGTGTAGAAAGAAGAAAACCTTAATTAGGTTGAAAGCTTAGTCATTAACCTCTTCCTGTTCTTGTTTTAGTCCCAACAGACATTTAAAATTGTTAAGTTTCTTTTTAGAAATGAGTTTTACTAATTTAAGCTTGACCTTCCTGCTGCTACCTTGTATTTTTGCGCTTAGTGTCCCGTGATGGTGTACTTCCAACCAATAACCTATCGGGATATCATATGGTGAATTATGTTTTCTCAGGCGAGAGGGCAAATTTATATGTTGTTATGGTTTGCAATTCAAGTGTCCAAAACATCAGTTGTTTTGATTTTTTTTTTCTCCTTGGGATTTAATTTCAGGAAAAGGAGAAGGAATGGCAACGAAGAAGACAACCATCTTCCCCCCCAGACCAAAAGGAGTAGCAGAAACCCTGTCCTTCAGGATTCCTGGGACACAGAGGTAGGACGTGTGGCCACATAGTCTTGTTTTCACTGCTTCAGTGAAATAACCCAGTATCTGCTGTGTAATTAAATTTACTTAAAGAATAGTTTAAAATGACCTTACTTGATTACAGTGTTTAACCTTTCTTTTTCCAAATCAGAACCTCTTTGAGGAAACTGTGTACCCTCTCCCCAGCAAAACAGTACATATCTGCACATAGTCATACATGCACACACTGATTTGTATTTGTTAGGAATTTTGTGGCTCTTTGAAAGCCTATGTTTGAACTCCCTGTTTTGTATTTCAGCAGCCAACTTCTTTTCTGGTAGTTTATAAACCATGAATTGTCCTTAAGATAAACATATTTTGTTGCTTCAATTCAAATGCCTTTTAAGAGAAACGTTAAGCATGTAAAATATATAAGGTATGTGTATGCAAAATCCCATTTTTCAGTGTTTTTACTTTTCATTATTTTGTTCTGAAAAGAGCTCCTGTGGTGAGAGGGAAGGGGAGTTGGGTGTTCTTGAACTTTTTTACAATTTTTGATTTCCTGAAAGAGTGCTTCAGTATGCAGACTGAGGATCAATTTTCTGTGCAATTGGAAGGCTGCTCTATGCTGGTGAAAGGGAACCAATGTAAAGTAATGCTGCTATTAAGTTATGCACCTAGAGAGTTTGACCCTTAACGGTTGTCACACTAAGAGAAAAGCCTCAACAACAAAGAGCCCTAGCGTAACTCACAGTAGAATTCTTCCACACCCAAATAATTTGTACTTAATTAATTCCTGATAATAAGATTTGACCTATATCCAGTCTGTCTTTGCCAGCAATTCAAAGTAACTCCCCCAAGGGGGAAAAATTGGGAACTTTCATGGAGGTAACATTCATTCAGAGACAGTGAACAAGTACAGAATAGAATCCTTCTGTGTGGAGACCTGAGTTTCTATAGCTGTTTTTCCTCCTTTAATATTTTCCTGGCCGAGCGCGGTGGCTTACACCTGTAATCCCAGCCCTTTGGTAGGCCGAGGCGGGCAGATCACAAGGTCAGGAGTTTGAGACCGACCTGGCCACATGGTGAAATGCTGTCTCTACTAAAAATACAAAAAATTAGCTGGATGTGTTGGTGCGCACCTGTAATCCCAGCTACTCGGGAGGCTGAGGCAGGAGAATCGCTTGAACCCAGGAGGCGGAGGTTGCAGTGAGCCAAGATTGCTCCAGTTTACTCCAGCCTGGGTGACAGAGCAAGACTCTGTTTCAGAAAAAAAAAATATATATATATACACACCCACATATATATATACACATATATATATATAAATTATAATTATCAGAAAGGTAATTGAGCTTTGTTTAATGTAATAGTTGGGGAATCTCAGGGATGAAAGAAAACAAGATTAGAGGCTACCATGACTATCTAATGATAAAACCCTGTAATAGTAATTGAGTTTCCATTCTTTTGAATTGTAAGACTGTTCATTAAAAGAATATGCAAAGATTACTTTCATGGTGTTGGCATCAGTATTTCCTTACTTACTTGTGTCTGTATGTAAGTCCTGCTATATGATGTTCATTTCAGTCAAGGGTATGGTAGGTCTGACTCTCTGTATTAACATGTTTTTCCCTGTATCTGCCAGTTTTGAAGCCTGAGAATAGCAGTAGCAATTGCCATCTTTTTCTTGCTTTTATCTCTTGGTTAAAAAAAGAAAGAAACTGTCATCCTTTTTAAATAATTAACATTTTTGATCTCTTAAGTAAGGCAGATATTGTAGTGTTGTTTTTTATTTTTTTATTTGTTTTTTTTTTTGGTACAAAATGACCTTTACTCTCTTTCTAAAATCTACGCATTGGTCTCACAGAAGAAAACAATGTCTTGTTACTCAACCTCCTGGGTTCTCTAGCTTGTCCTTACTTGTCCAAGAAATTCAGTTGTTGAGCCACTCCATAATCATTATCTGAAGGAAGGACTAGATTGTCTTTCTTATCATTTAAAGTAATTACTGGTAGTTTCTGCCTGAACTCACTGGTAGATCACCTAATGGGGTGTTACAACCATTAGTTTCAGCCTTGCTTACTGAACATTGACCAGAATAGCCTGCTGTGCTGTCCTGTGCTGTGCTGTGCTGTGCTGTCCTGTCCTGTCCTATCCTATCCTATGCTGTGCTGTGCTGTGCTATGCTGTCCTGTCCTATCCTGTGTTGTCCTGTGCTGTGCTATGCTGTGTGGTCCTGTCCTGTCCTGTGCTGTATTGCGTTGCACTGTGCTTCCTGGTGGTAGTATTAACAAGTAACAAGGACAAGTGAATGATGGGAGAGCCAGAGAAGGAAAAGGCAGAGGGAAAATCTTTTAAAATGGAAAGTTAAGCCCCAAATAATTAAGTTTTCACTACTAGAATAAATGATTATGTTTGTAGCAGCAAAAAATCAAGTTTAGGGACATTTGGCTGCTTTTTGATGATTGTGTATAAAAGGGAAAATAAAACAATTCATTTTTAATTATATTAATAGTTTAGACAATAAAATATTTTATTAATAACATTACTAATGAAAATGTTTTCTTTTAATTCTGAGGTAGGGCCATGAGATCAGTTTCCTTGAAACTAAGTTATGTGAGAGAAACCATTTCCTATGTTTTCCCTGAATGAATAAGCTCTGTCACCCAGGCTGGAGTGCAGTGGCGTGATCTGAGTTCACCGCAACCTCTACCTCCCAGGCTCAAGCAGCACTCCTACCTCAGCCTCCCAAGTAGCTGGAACTACAGGCACATGCTACCACGCTGGATTAATTTTTTTAAGGTTTTTTTTTTTTTTTTTTTTTTTTTTTGTAGAGACGATGTCTCACTATATAGCCCAGGCTGGTCATGAACTTCTGGGCTCAAGCGATCCTCCCACCTCAGCCTTCCCAGAATGCTGGGATTACAGACTTGAGCCACCATGCCTGGCTAGAATTCCCTTCCTTCCCTCCCTCTTGCTCCCCTCCCTTCCCCTCCCCTCCCCTTTCCTCCTCTTTCTTCCCTTCCCCTCCTTCCTCTCTTCCTTTCTCCCTCCCTTCCTTCTTCTCTCCCTCCTTTCCTTCCTCCCTTTCTTTCTTTTCTTTCTGACAGGGTCTCCCTCTGTTGCCCAAGCTGAGTGCCCTGGAATGATCATGGTTCACTGCAGCCTCAACCTCCTGGGCTCAAATGATCCTCCCACCTCAGCCTCCTGAGGTCCTGGGACTATAGGCGTGTGCCACCAAACCTGGCTAATTTTTTTTTTTTTTTTTTTTTTTGAGATGGAGTCTCGCTCTGCCGCCCAGGCTGGAGTGCAGTGGCCGGATCTCAGCTTACTGTGAGCTCCGCCTCCCGGGTTTACGCCATTCTCCTGCCTCAGCCTCCCGAGTAGCCGGGACTACAGGTGCCTGCCACCACACCCGGCTAGTTTTTTGTATTTTTTTTTTAGTAGAGACGGGGTTTCACCGTGTTAGCCAGGATGATCTCCATCTCCTGACCTTGTGATCCACCCGTCTCGGCCTCCCAAAGTGCTGGGATTACAGGCTTGAGCCACCGCGCCCGGCCCGCATGCAATTTTTAAAATTTTTTGTAGAGACAGGGTCTCTCTATGTTGCCCAGGCTGGTCTTGAACTCCTGGCCTCTTACCCTCCTCCACTGGGCCCGGCCAGAATTCTCTTTCTTCTCCTTTTTTTTGTTAACCTGGCTGATTAATAATTCTTTTTCTTATAACTTGAACTTTGTGAGGAATTTTTTTTTTTAATTCTAAGAGAGGTTTAAAAGTTACTTACAATTCATTTCTAAAAGTTAACCTTTTCTCTTAAATACAATAATAATGGCAACTACTGGGAAATATGTGAGGTGTTTTATTTATGTTAAACCATTAAATTGTGCCACAAGTAAATCACAATTATCTGTACAATGGAGATAGTATCTGCCTCATCTTTCCTAGATGCTATAAAGCTAAAGAATGTGAACTGATTTGCCGGATTAGTTATGTAGAGAGAAACTTGATGTGTGCAAAAGTTAATGTGCGCGTAAATGGCTTCTTTCTCCCATTTTATTTTTTTATTGTTTATTGTTTTTTGAGAGGGAGTTTCACTCTTGTTGCCCAGGCTGGAGTGCAGTGGCGCAATCTCGACTCACCGCAACCTCCGTGTCCCGGGTTCAAACGACTCTCCTGCCTCAGCCTCCCTAGTAGCTGGGATTATAGGCAAGTGCCACCACACCCTGCTAGTTTTGTATTTTTAGTAGAGATGGGGTTTCTCCATGTTGGTCAGGCTGGTCTTGAATTCCTGACCTCAGGTAATCTACCTGCCTCGACCTTCCAAAGTGCTGGGATTCCAGGCGTGAGCCACCACGCCTGGCCTATTTTAGTAGGTATTATTATCTCTACTTTTCAGATGGAAAAATTGGCACACAGAAAGATAGTCACTTGTCCAAAGAACACAGCTAGTAAGAGGCAGAGAAGGAGCGGAACCCCAGGGCGTGGTTGTCGGGCTGTTGGCTCCTGACCACGTGTGCTCTCTCAGAAGATAGAGCAGAGGTTCTGTGAGACTTTGCTAAATATATCCAGGAGCAGCTAGGACCTAGTCTTCTCTTTTTTTTTTTGAGACAGAGTGTCACTCTGTCACCCAGGCTGGAGTGCAGTGACGTGATCTTGGCTCACTGCAGCCTCTACCTCCCAGGTTCAAGTGATTCTCTTGCTTCAGCCTCCTGAGTAGCTGGGATTACAGACACCCGCCAGCTCGCCCAGCTAATTTTTGTGTTTTTAGTAGAGATGGGGTTTCGCCATATTGGCTAGGCTGGTCTCAAACTCCTGACCTCAGGTGATCCACCCGCCTCAGCCTCCCAAAGTGCTGGGATTATAGGCGTGAGCCGCCACACCCAGCCCTAATCTTCTTTTGAATCAGGAACAGAGAAGAACAGTGTTCCTTCTCTTTTTATCTAGAAGATGTTTTTTTCAAGTACATGCCATGATATGATCTTAGCTATAAAACAATTTTAGATTTCTAGCAAGAAGAAAAGCAAAAATAA